AGAAAGAAAGAAAGAGGATAAAATAAAGTAAGATAAAATAAAATAAAGTTATTAAAGTAAAAAATAATTATTAAGAAAAAAAATTTTTAAGTTAAAAAATAAAAAGAAAACGGACGGATAGAACCCTAGGACAAATGGTGAAAGCAAAGCTATACAGACAAAATCTCACACAGAAGCATACACATACACACTCAGAAAAAGAGGAAAAGGGGAAAAAATAATAAATCTTGCTCTCAAAGTCTACCTCCTCAATTTGGGATGATTTGTTGTCTATTCAGGTATTCCACAGATGCAGGGTACATCAAGTTGATTGTGGAGATTTAATCCACTCCTCCTGAGGCTGCTGGGAGAGATTTCCCTTTCTCTTCTTTGTTCGAAGAGCTCAGGGGCGTTCAGTTTAGGATTTGGCCCCGCCTCTGCGTGTAGGTTGCTGGAGGGCGTCTGTTCTTCACTCAGACAGGACGGGGGTTAAAGGAGCAGCTGACTCAGGGGCTCTGGCTCACTCAGGCCAGGGGGAGGGAGGGGTGCGGATGCGGGGCGAGCCTGCGGCGGCAGAGGCCAGCGTGACGTTGCACCAGCCTGAGGCGCACCGTGCATTCTCCCGGGGGAGTTTTCCCTGGATCACGGGACCCTGGCAGTGGCGGGCTGCACAAGCTCCGCGGAAGGGAGGTGTGGAGAGTGACCTGTGCTCACACACAGGCTTCTTGGTGGCGGTGGCAGCAGCCTTAGCGTCTCAGGCCCGTCTCTGGAGTCCGTGCTTTTAGCCGCGGCTCTCGCCCGTCTCTGGAGCTCCTTTAAGCAGCTTTTAATCCCCTCTCCTCACGCACCAGGAAACAAAGAGGGAAGAAACACCTCAAAGTCATTTTTAAAAAACAAAAAAATTACAAGAAAAGATTTGGGAATATTTTTTTTAAATGGACTTAATCAAATTTTTAAAAATCGAGGGATCAAAAGAAACAAGAAAGTGAAAACACCCCATAAAATAGGAGAAAATATTTGCAAATTATATACCTGATAAGAGTCCAGTATCTGGAATATATAAAGAATGTTTATAACTCAGCAATAAAAGGACAGCCCAACTATAAAATTGGCAAAGGATTAACATCGCTCCAAATATGATAAACAGGTGGTCAATAAGCACATGAAAAGAGTCTCAACATCATTTTTCATTATGGAAATGCAAATCAGAACCACAAGATAACACTTCACATTCACTAGGATGGCTATTATCAGAAAGATGAACAATCACCAGTGTCGGTGAGGATGTGGAACCCTCACACGTTGCTGGTGGAAAAGCAAAAAGCCACTTTGGAAAACAGTTTGGCAATGTCTCAAAGTCTTAAACATAGAATTACTATGTGACCCAGCAACCCCCTTCCTAGGTTTATACCCAAAAGAATTAAAAACCTATGTCTACATAAAAACAAGTACGTGAAAACTACCGGCATTATTCAGGATAGCCAAAAGCTAGAAACAACTCACATGTTCATCAGATGATGAACAGATTTTTTAAAATGTGTTATATCCATATAATGAAATATTATTCAGCCAAAAATAGGAACGAAGTACTGATACATGCTACAACATGCACGAACCTTGTAAACATTATGTAAAAGAAGCCAGACACAAAAGGCCACATACTGTATGATTCCATTTATATGGAGTATGCAGAATAGACAAATCTGTAGAGACAGAAGTAGGTGAGTGATTGCTAGGGGCTGAAAGGAGGAAAAGATTGGGGAGTGACTGCTAATTTCTACAGGGTTTCTTTTGGAGTGGTGAAAATGTTCCAGAATTAGATATTGGTGGTGGTTGCACAACCTTAAGCAATTAACATTCACAGCACTGGAGATAGGGCACTAACTAGTAAAGAGGGTCTGGGAAGGTCACCGTCAGTCTCTACTACACCTGCCCTTCCTTTTAAAATCATATATTTCTTTCAGATTTTACATCATCGATTAAGGTCTATAATTTCTATTATAGCATTTTCTAAATTCACTGCATGCTATGCAAACACTTGTCAAGTTTCAAATTATAATTTTATATCTTATCCCAAGATTTGGCAGAAATAAACATATATTCTTGCTGTTTAAAATCTCTTAGTTCTCATTTTCTGAAATTAAAAAGTACTGAATTTTAGCTTACCCTCTTATGGGAGTCCTGCCATTTTAAACAATCATGTTAGCTCTGCTTTTTGGAGAACAGTATGGAATAATGATGAAGTACACAGGCATTCTGGCAGCCCAGCTGTCCCACCTGCCAGCCCTGTGATCTGAGGCAAGTTGCTTAACTTCTTCACTGGTGCCTCAGTTTCCTCCCACATTAAGTGGGCCTCATAACCGCCAGTATTTCATAAAGTTTTGTAGGAGTTAGTACCTGTAAAGCACTTAGAACAAAGAACAAATCCTGGCCTATAGTAAGAGCTCAATAAATCTTTGCTTATATTTTCTAGGTCCTCCCCAAATATTCTTTTAAGCTTCAGCAACAGAAACCCTGTGGAGTATTGTAACCACAGAAGGCAACGTGAGTTTAAATGGATTTTGCTTTCTGATTTGTTTCTTTTCTGATGACCTTCCTGAATGTGTCAACTTTTTTCTTAGCCTTTTTGGATACAATAGCACATGGGCTTAAGTCTTCAGTGAAATAAAAACTTCTATAACCAGTTTCTGAGTAAACTGATGGTGCCATAGACATCATCCTATTTGGATTGTCTTTCTTCTAAATACTTCACCTAATATTCCTTCACCCTAAAGTTCATTGGAAGCTTTTATATTTACTAGTGCAACCATAGATTTTTGGAGTCCTATAATCAAAGAATTTTACATATCTAGGGACAGACGTTTTGAAATCCTCTAGTTCAAACTACTTATAGTCTAAACTACAGATGAGGAAATTTACTCTTAAGGAGATTATATGGCTCTTCCAAAATCACAGATACTTCGGTGATTTTTTCTCTCTGGTATACTGAATTATCTCCCTTTCTGCACTTCATTCTCATTAATGAAGAAATTTATTGTCGAAAATAGTATCATAAAATTGTATAAATGCTGCTTTCCAATAATACTAAAGGTCTATTGAGTTATCTTCACCACCAATCAGGAACCTTTACTGGAAGCTTGTTCCTGATTGGTGAAAGCCTGCTGTAACAGTGGAATTCCAAAGAGTAAACAAAAAAGCATAGCAACAACTGAGTTTGCCGTCTCACTACCCTGAGCCTAGGCCAACCTGGACTCCTTCATCCCAGGTGAGGTGGCCTCTACATTTTATATGAAGGCTCTGATTTTCCCTTCAACTGTGATCCACCTTATAACATGGCAATCCATTACAGACAGGAAGATAAAACTGAACAACACAGCTAAAATAAAGTGTATTCCCAGGTAAAATAGACAAATGCTTTCATTTAAAATGGATTAGTTTGATGAGCTTCAGTTACAAGGCAACAGGAAGGTACCAGTGCTCAGGAACTGTATCTATGGGCAGTATCACCAATTCCTACTAGTGGCAGCAGCTGTGGTGGGTGACATGACTCACTGGAGTGTGTGATCTCATAGCCAGAAAGGATTTGCAAACAGCTCTGATCATTAATCCCATGCTGTGGAAACAGACATGGAGGAGTGCTGTGCTTCTCATAGCTATAGAGGGTCCTGGTTTCCTAAGAAGGAATGTTCACATCCCAGAGCTGGTAGTTTGGTGCCCTATCCCTAGGTGATGAGAGGAAGATGCTTTTTATAATGACTGCCAAGTTGGAATGGAGTCTCTCTTTGCATTTTCTGGGGTAAGATTCTACCATATTATTTTTTAATATAATTTTTTAATTTACAGAATACCCACTGTGGAGACAGGATGAAGTTGACCAGTGAAAAGTTGCCCAAGAACCCCTTTTATACTTCTCTATCCCACTATGCTGCTAATAACCAAAAACTCTTCCAATGGAGAAAGGAAAAGACTGGTACAAATCCTGATAATATTTTCACTAAAAGTTAATTAGGTACACCAGAGCAAAAGAGACAAGAAATATGAGTCTTATTGCTGGCAAGCAAGCAGTTAAGTTTACAGTCTTTTCTAGCTTTTCTGTAAGAATCTGTGAAATTGCTTGAAGCTACCTGGTAGCAGATCATCAGTGAAGAAGTTTCATAATGAGTTCCTGATCCTGGTTTTACTCTCAGGACTTTAGGACACCCTTCTGGAAAAGAGAAGCCAGATGTCAGTTCTGTTAAAGAGAACAGTACCATGCTTTACTTGAAATCAGCATTTAAAGCTACCATTTTTTTCTATAGACTTAAAAAAATTAAATTGGGGATGGTTAGCTCATCTAGTTAGAGTAGTTCTAATTAAGGCTCAGATTAAGAATTTCACTCACCCAGAGGCCAGCTTTGTCTAAAGAATTCCACATAGACTGCATTGCTAGAGCTCCTGCCTAGTAGGAAAGAGGGTTAGTTTGACAACCAGCCAATAAATTTCTTAATTATATAAGGCACAGTGTCAGGTATTGTGATAGTGCTTTCTTTTTTTAAGGTAGTGCTTTTTCCTTGAACTAAGGAGGTCAGTTTTAGGAATGAGAACTAGGAGGGAAACTAGTACAGTGTCAGATGAGTTCTATTTAATTTATTACTTTAAGAGAGAAAATTCATATTGTATGGATAAAGATGGAATTCTTTACTTTTTAAAAAATCAGATCATTACAGCCATGCTGGTTTGGTGGAAAAAGCATTGCACCTCTTGAAGGAAAGAATAAGAAGAGGGGATACTCTGGCATATTTCCTACGAGGTCAACTGTATTTTGAAGAGGTATCATTTTTTGTTGATTTGTTTTCATATAAAGCTGCTGTTAGATCTTCATAGCAAAATTTCCTATAGAGTTCCTTACATTGTTAAACCAGGGAAATTCTGTCAAATTCCATAGATTATAGTTGTGGATTTAAGTATGATAAATTGGTCCCAGCTTATGGAGATATTCAACCTTTCTCCATAAAAGTCATTCTAATTAATGTCATTTATAGGAGTCATTTTGGTATGAAATCCATTTTCACATGATAAATTAAAAATCTAATTTTTATATTTTGCCCGATATATTCAACATCATTTATAAAATATTTTCATTTTATTAACAATGAAAAATCCTGATTCTTACCTAGTACTTAAAGGCAGCTTTATATGTTCCTATATGGAGTAAGGAGGGGATTTCCCTCTTTATCCACATTATGCTGAGGTTTGCAAAGTAGGTCTAGGAGGACCTATGCAAACTATCACTCCAACTTCAGCAATATAGCTTCAGTTGTTCATTGAACCCCAAGGGAAGATGTGAAAAGGGACCAGCTGTCCCCAACCCCTCACTATCCATTGAATGTTTGGGCAGCTGTTCAACTATATCCCACTTACTTATCTTTTGATGGCTCCTTCATTCATTCTGGCAACAAATATTTGTTGAGGACTCATAATGCACCTGTCACTGTGAGGATAACGTAGCACAATGGTTCAGAGAATGATCTTTCAGCTTTGGGCGTAGGTTCCAGTACGGTTCTATTGCTTGTTAACTGTATCCTTGGGCACAAATGCTTAACCTCTTGGTGCCTCAGTTCCCTCATCTATAAAAGGGGGTAATAATATGTATTTCATAGAGCTATTATGAGGGTATATTAATTGTAAAAATACTAACAGGGCCTGGCACCTAGTAAGTGCTTTATAAGTATTTGCTACTATTATGCTAGGTACTAGCTATATAGTAATGAGGGAGTTAGAATGGTCCCCATTTCATAGAGCTTACAGTCTAGAGGAAGAAATTAAATTAATATATAATTAAAAATAAGTTAAAATACTGTGAAAGCAATTAACTGGGTACTCTGAGAGAGAATAACTTAGGGATAGGGCGGAAATACCTGTTGTTGAAACTAAAACTTGAAGAAAAGGAAGCAGTTAATGCAAACAGCCACAGGGAAGTGCATTCCAGGTAGAAGGGAGAACAAATGCAACGTTTCTGAGATGAGGAAGAGTTTGGTGAGCTCTAGGAATTAAGAGACCAATGTCATGGTCAGCAAGGCAGAGAATGACTCTAGATAAGCCTTGTTTAAAATGTAGTGAGAAGCCATTGAAGTGTTTTGAGACTGTGATGAATGGATTGGAAGGGAAGCATAGGACCAAGACAAGTTTAGGGGAAAATTATACTAGTTGGTCAAGAGAGGATGGTGATCTTGACCCAGCAGTGGAGCTGGGTCCTGGATTTATTTTGGAGATACAAGTAATGGCATCATGGACTGAAAAATAGAGAAGTGGGGAGGAGTGAGTTTTGAGGGAACCATCAGGAGGTCAGTTTTTGGACATTTTATGTTTGAGATTCCCCTCAGTCATCCAAGTATACATGTTTCAAAGTAGAAACTACATGTAAGACTCTAGATCTCAAAGGAGAAGTCTGAGTTGAAAGTATATATCTGAGATTTTCCAGCATGTATATGGTATTTAAAATCATGAAAAACTAAAAGGACTTCCTTTCTCTTCCTCTGTATAGAGTATTCTAAGTTTTCCAGCCCTCTTATATGTTGGGCAAACACTAGCCAGAAAGGAGAATGAATCTTTACAACTCAGTCATTTACTCATTGTCGTATGTTCTTTAAGATAAATATTTGTTAGCATTTTGGTACAGTTTTTATTAATTTTATCAGTTTGTTGATTAATTACAGTTTATGAAAAGAGAAATTCAATTGTTTCTGTGTTTTCCAAAAGTTGCTTTTCTATGGCCTGCTCTTCCTAGTAATGACCTTCCAACTCAGAGACTCTCTTTCCACTGTTACAAATGATTTATTCTTTAGCGTAAGGCATTTTCCATGGTGGATTAAGACATAAGCCCCATTTTTTTTTTTTTTTTTTTTTTATGAGATACGCGGGCCTCTCACTGTTGTGGCCTCTCCGTTGCAGAGCACAGGCTCCGGACGCGCAGGCCCAGCGGCCATGGCCCACGGGCCCAGCCGCTCCGCGGCATGTGGGATCTTCCCGGACCGGGGCACAAACCCGTGTCCCCTGCATCGGCAGGTGGACTCTCCACCACAGTGCCACCAGGGAAGCCCAAACCCCATTTTTGTTCCTTACACTTCAGCGTATTTGTTATTATATCCTATAACGCTGAGGAGCCTTAAATGAATGACATATAACACATAGGTTTTTATAGGAAGTATGGGAGAAAGATAATTTTGGAGAATCACGTTTGTTTTTCTGTGTCTTCTCCCTAGCTAGAAAATGGCAAAACTGGAAGAGCCATATCATAGTGGATATTTAGTAGTAGCGGATATCCTGATGTTTATCTTTTCTCAGAGTCTTTGGCCCCATCTCTGAAGTTTCTCAGACTCCAGGAGTAGCGGGTGATATGGCAGGCTGGAATGAGCAGAGGGCTAGGCTATCATTTAGACAGCGGTTTGGCAATAGCCAAGAGTAAGAGTGAAAGCCAAAGAGAGTCTGACCCAGGTTCCTCCTGGTCAGTTCCCTCAGTTGCCATATTTAGGTTTATTTTATTGATTTTATAGTGTGTTGGTTGTTGTCAATAGCTTACTTGCAAATTCCATAAATTTGTTGCTGTCTTGTTTTATTTGGTGCTGCTAGCTAGAGTTAGGTGGGAACTAAGTATTTGGGATTACTTTAAAGTAATAATGAAAATAATTCAGTATTTCCTGGGAGCTTACAGGGATGGTATGAAGAAGCATTAGAACAGTTTGAAGAAATCAAGGAAAAGGATCATCAGGCAACTTACCAGCTAGGAGTGATGTATTATGATGGCCTGGGGATGACCGCAGACGCTGTAAGTTATTGTTTTGTTCACAGTGTTTAAGATTTCATTGTTTATGGATTATTTGATATATTTAAAATTATATTTTAATGATATATTTCTTACTTATATTTAAATAATTATCTGTCATTTCAGCATTTAAAGGAGAGCAGTAGTCATTTTTACATTTACGTGAAAAATAAATTTCTTTTTGCCCCTCTCCTTGCTACTATTAGCCGTCAATAACATTTTTGCTTTAAAATATTTTCCTTTGTTTTTAAAAGTTACTTCAAAGCTACATGAACATGGAGAAAAGTTAGAAAATAAGCAAAAATAAGATCACTCCAAATTTTACTATCAAATATGAACTTTGTTATTAGAGTATATTCTTCCATGTATTGCCCTATGCAAAAAAAAAAGATAAGCTGAAACCAGAATGTGTTCATTAGACAGTCACACTTGCTATGAAACTTCTTAAGTCTCTCTCTAGAATGCGAATTTTTTTGAAAAATTGGTTTTTATACTTATTCGTGCTTTCTAACTCAATGGTCCCCTATTTCTATTTAAATGGTATCATGACTGCACCATCACCCAAGTTATAGGATTATTTAGTATGGAATTTAGAAATAGGTCCTTGGAAAATGGTAATAACAGTAGGATAATATTCATCACTATATCTTTTTAAAACTTTTAAACAATCTAACCAGAAAGAATTTACATAAACAAAAAGAATCAACAATTTGAGTTTACCAAAGATATAATAATAATACCAGTGAAAAATATTGGCTGCACAAAAATAAAGCGGAAAGCAATAAAATGCTTAATTTCTGACAGGGCCTAACCAGAAGAAATACAATAGAAATTAGATGACAATTGAACTCTAGTCTCAAAAAGTTAAGAAAACACATTTTGTCAATCAAACATGAGAAGACTGGGGAACAAATTGCAATGAAACAACTTAAACTTGTGAAAACAAATCTTTAAAAATTTTACTTTCCAAAAATAGAATTTATACTGAATACATCTACCAAAACTAACACATATTCCCTAATACCATTTAATACCCAGTTTATATTCAAAATTCTCAAATTGTCCCAAAGTAGTCTTTCAAGCCAGCATTCAGTCAGAGACCACCCAATGCATTGAGTTGTAATATCTACAAGTTTCTTTAATCTAGATTAATTCTCTCTCCTGCCTTTTTTCATAATACTGACTTTATTAGAAGTGACACTTATATGGTACTTATGCAGAAAAATGTCTTCTTTTGTAATTCGTACTGAAATATTTAGGGATGAAGTGTCCTGATATTTTCATATCGGCATATAACTTGAAACAAGTCACCAAAAAAGACAGATGAAGCAAATATAGCAAAATGTTATTACTGACAATCTATGTGGTAGTTATGCAAATTTTTTTTTTTTTTTTTGCGGTATGCGGGCCTCTCACTGCTGTGGCCTCTCCCGCTGCGGAGCACAGGCTCCGGACGTGCAGGCTCAGCAGCCATGGCTCACGGGCCCAGCCGCTCCGCGGCACGTGGGATTTTCCTGGACCGGGGCACGAACCCGTGTCCCCTGCATCAGCAGGCGGACTCTCAACCACTGCGCCACCAGAGAAGCCCTATGCAAATTTTTATGTAATATTCTTTCTACTTTTCTGTATGCCATTCTTAGATCTTCTGTATTCTCAGCCTTTTTCTCAGACTACTTCCTTCACTTCCTTGCCTTATCAGAAACTTGGTTGTCCCACAAGCAGCCCTCTTTATAGGAGGGCTCTCCTTACAACCTCCCAAAGTACCATAGTGCTCAAAGTTAGAGCTGGTATTATTTTCATTTCCCAATTCACTTTCTAGCTATTATTTCTCCTCCACCTCAGGCACAAAGTGTACCTACTTTGAAGTTCATACCAACTCCTTGCTTTCCTAGTTCTATCAATTTCCTGGTTGTTGGGAACTTTCTAATGTTAACCTGAAGACTTTGGCTCTGGGATTACATTTTCCTCCCTGTGTCATTCCACCATTTTATCTGATACTTGAATGAAGAACTGAGCAGCAAGAAGGAGCAACGTATAGGTCTAGGTGAATCACATTCCAGGCAGAGGAAATAGCTAGCGTTCAGGCCTGAGGAAGGATGGTACAGCTGGAATACAGTCAAAACAGTGAAACAGGGACCAAACCACGTGGAACTTGGCAAACTACGGCCAAATGGATTGTATTCTCAATGCAGTGTGAAGACACCAAAAGGGAGTGCAATTAATACGATTAACATTTTTAAAGATCATTTTGTCTGTTGTGTGGAGATTGGATTGAATGGAGGCAAGAGTAGAAGCAGGAAGTCCAGTGAGGAAGCCAGTGCAGTAGTTCAGATAAAAGAGCAGCTTTAACTGAAATTATAGTGGTGGGAATAGAGAAAAGTGGACAGATCTAGGATGTGCTCTTAAGAGGATACAGGACTTTCTGATGGATTGGGAGAGGGGCAGAGATAAGGGGAGGAATCAAGGATGATTCCTACTTTTTGTCTTGAGTGGATGATGTTGCCATTTAATAACAATGGGGTGACTGAGGGAGAAGCACGTTTGGCGTACAGGAGGAAAAGCGAAACATTTATGTTTGAATGTTTCATTTGAAGTACCTGTTAAGACACCTAAGTAGAGATGTCAGGTAGAGAGTCTGGAGCTCAGCGGTGCCGTCAGGACTAGAGAAATCAGTGGGGGGCTATCTGTGGAGCAGTGGGAGTTACAGCACCAGCTTGGATAAGATTGCTGAATGAGTATCATAGACAAGAGCCACAGGTCAAGGCCAGGGACTGGAAGCCCTCCAGTATTTCATGGTCATAACAGAAAGAATAGCTAGCCAGCAAAGGAGAAATGAGAAGAAGACAGGGAGGACAGAGGAAAATGAGGACTGTGTGGTGATCTGAAAGTCAAACGATGAAATTGTTTCAAGAAGAAGGGAGTGATCATCTGTCTCAAATTCTGCTGAGAGGTGAGTAGAATGAAAACTGAGCACTTACTATCAGACATACTAAGATGAATTTCACTGGAGATCTTGACAAAACTATTTCAGTGGGACCAAGGTCATAAGGGACCAAGATTGGAGTGGGTGGAGGAGACATATGGATGTAAGGAAGTGGAGATAAGCACTGAGCTTTGTTATAAAGTAGAACAAATATATGTGCAATAACTGGGAGGGATCATGGGATCAAGGGAGAGTTTTCTCCCAGATCAAAGATATTACAGTATTATTTGTAAGCTGACACACAAGATCTGGTAGAGAGGAAAAAATTGATAATGAATCAGGTAAACTGATAGATTTGGTGTTTCTTTCAATTCTTTCTGTTTTCTCAGTGAAATAAAAGACAAGCCAAGTGTTTGCTGTGGCAGCATGTATCCTAAAATTCTAACAATTCAGAGAAAATAAGCATAGCACCTGTGCAAAGATGACACACAACTCCATGAACTGTTCCATATTTTTTATAAAAATATTTAAAAAGTTGAAGCCATGAGCTGAGACTGAGGAGAGGGAGCGAGGGGACAGCAGAAGTCTGAAGAGAAAGGAAAAGGTTTGAAGTAGTATCTTCTCTTCCAGATAAGTGGGAGAGATCATTGATGAGACAAACTGATAGTATTGCTTGTGAGGGGAGAGCTCGCTCTGAAATTTGAAGTCACAAATTGTAGGAAGGACCTGTCAGCATGGTTATGTTTTTCTCCAGCCATGTTCAGTGGTTTAAGTACAGCAGAGTAGCTGGAGAAATAAGATATCTGCCACATGAGTGAGTGTCATGGAGGGAAAGAGGGACAAAGGAATGAGTACAGTGACAGATACAGAATAAGCTGATGTGGGAAGAACACGAAGGTGTAGAAAGACCAGGAAAATTGGTAGATTCGACGGGTTGGCATATGGCAACTCCAAAATAGAATGGCTTAAATGTAATTACATATGGAGGCCAGAGGAGCAAAAAAGAAGATGGCCTCTGTAGGTCTGTTCAGTTAACCCAAGGTAAAGCGGCAAAGAGCAAATTCTTTTAATGTTTATCATTTTATTAATTTACCGAGTTCTTGACACTAATTTGGTCCAGAGTCTGGTTGAAACAAATATGCTTTGTGTGGTAGGTTTGAAATGTCTTGAAATTTACATGTTATAAACCCCAAAATATTGATACAAAACCGCATTATGTTTGCTTTAGTCATATATCTTTTGAAAGAAATTGAAAGGAAAAAATACATACACAGGTATGTATATATGTGCCTGGGTATCCTTTTATATTTGTACATATTTACCATTTCTGAGGCTTTACATTCCTCCCTATCAATCGGCGTTGCCATCTGGCACCATATTCCTTTTCCATTCAACCTGAAGAATTTCCTTTAAAGAGCATTTCTTGTAAGTATGCAGGTAATGAGTTATCTCCAATTTTATAATTACCTGAAAATGTCTTCACTCTGCCTTCATTTTTGATGAATTGTTTTGCTGGTTGAGTTTCTCCTTTCCTCACTTTAAAAATGCCATTGTAGTGCTTCCCTGGTGGCGCAGTGGTTGAGAGTCCGCCTGCCGATGCAGGGGACAGGGTTTGTGCCCCGGTCCGGGAAGATCCCACATGGCGCGGAACGGCTGGGCCCGTGAGCTATGGCCTCTGAGCCTGCGCGTCTGGAGCCTGTGCTCCGCAGAGGGAGAGGCCACAACAGTGAGAGGCCCGCGAACCGCGCAAAAAAAAAAAAAAAAAAATGCCATTGTAAACTCTTCTAGCTTCTCACAAGAAGTCAGTCTCTGATTGTCTTATGTTCCCTGTATATGTGTCCTTTTTCTCTGGCTGCTTGCAGGATTTCTATGGATTTCAGCAGTTTAACTATGATGCATGCCTAGGAGAGGGTTTTTGTTTATCCTGTCTGGGGTTCATTGAACTTCAATGATCCCTTTCAGTTGCAGTTCTCAAGAGTCATTCCTCTTCCAGTTTGTGTTTGGTTTGATAAACTTCCCAGTGCCTTTAATAACTTTTTAAAAAATTAATTAATTTATTTTTGGCTGCGTTGGGTCTTTG